CAGGTCGATTGCCCATTGCATGAACGGCCACTTGTCTGCAGGTGTAGTTCGCTAGTAGACAGTGCTGGTACCGGCTTGTAACGTTAGCAGCGGTCGCACTTTTGTACTAATTCCTTAGCATTTTGATGCATGGTAGGCCAATAGTAACCTGTGTTAAGAGCCTTCTGTGCCAAGGATCGACCTCCTGAGTGATTTCCACAAATGCTTTCGTGGATTGAGCTTAGAACCTTCAAGTCATCGGAAGGCACTAAGCAACGGAGATGTGGTCCGGTGCAAGATCTTCGGATGAGAATGTCGTTCCACATGTAGTAGCGTGCCGCCTTGATCTTTTCATGAGGAATGTGCCATTGACCAGGTAGTCTACGATGGAATCTTGTCAGTTTGGAGTTGTACTAACCTGTGCCACCTTGGCTACTGGTTTCGCCTCTATGCTTAGCTCGTATAGATATTCCATTGGAATAGAACGTTGGTGAAGAAGCCTAGGCCGGTTAGTGCGTCCACGTGAGCGTTGTCTACTTGTGGAACTTGAATGAGGGTGTAAGTCTGAAACACCTCAAGCAGTCTTGCTAGTGATTAGCTAGGAATCAGAATGAATTGCGAGCTTTTTCACTGCCAAGTCTTTTGCCATTCGGAAGCATGCTAGTAAGGTCTCGTATTATGCTTCGTTGTTAGATACTTTGAAACCTAGGCATCGAACCGTCTGGATGACAAGGACTACACCTGCTCGTGAACCTTTGTAGTTGGATGCGCCGTGGACATGCAAATGCTAAAAGTTTCCATCGGATGGAGCAGACAAGGCTAGGGCGTGCTCGACTACCTCCGTGAAGCTAGGGCTATGTTACACGCAGCAAGAGATGCTCAACTACTAGTATTGGACCACTCTAAAGTTGAATTATGGAGCAAGGGTATGCTAGGACCATGTGACACGTAGTAAGAAGTGGTGCTGAACTGTCAGTACATGTTGCTCTATGTAGAATCTTTTGAGGCAACAAGGACAAAATTTTTTTTCGAGTGTGTCCTTCCAGTGTTCGTCTACCCTTGGCGCATCTTTGGGGCTGAGTTGTTGCTTTCGTCAGAAAACTTTACATTCGCCAGGGTCTTACGCCTTTATCGTTGCGTGTCTGGATTGGGCGAAATAGTGCGTCATGAGGATGACTGCATGCATTTGAAGGTAAAACTTGAGCTTCTAGGTTACAACAACTATCGTCAAAGTTAGCTTTTGAATTTTTAATAGCATCGAGGAGAGCTTTTTAACTGTAGAATATAGATAGTTGAGTCTCCAGCTCTTCTCGCATGATGGTAGAGCTTATTGCTGCTTTAGATACTGTTAAACATGTGAATAACTCTTCTGCTGCTTCCGGTTTGGATAGTAGGGATGTGATGTCGAGTACTTCTTCAAGTCATTGAGTGTGCATTGGTAAGCCTCGTCCCAAAGTGCATGTTTCTCTGCCAGAGCGAAAAAGTCTGCCAGAGTTAGATCTTCTTTCATGATCAATTTTTCGAATAGCAGGTGGTCTGCTGAAAGTCCTTTTTGGAAGACTGCTCTAGCTATTGAGTCATTGCATCCTACTATCCTTGCCTTCTCTGCTTTGAACCTCCTTAGATAATCACAAAGCGACTCCTTTGGGTTCTTCTTAACGTCGAACAAATGGTCGGACTTCTTTTTTATCAAGCGATAAGATGAATATTCTTTGGGTGAAAACTAAAGAAAGTTCGTCGAAATTCCGGATGGATTGTGGCGGCAGTGTTTAGAAACAATCTTGCGTCTCACCTTGTAGAGTGGTGGTGAATATCTTGCACATGAGATCATCATTGTTTCGATAAAGAATCATTGTGCTTCGATAGTACTTTAAGTGTCTCTCCAGGTCTTTATCTTCTTTGAAAGATGTGAAATATGGCATGCTGAACTCGCGTAAAGGCTATGCCTGCTCGATCTCGTTCGTGAAGGGTGACTTGCTTATGTTGGTCATGTTCCGTCATAGTGCCTCGTCAGTGACCTTGTTGCGTTGGAAATTACACAATCGCTTGGTCAAGAGTCTCTCTACTTCTTCCTGAATTTGCCTTTGTTGAGGTAGTAGAGCTCTCGGCTACCCCCAACCTTGACTTGCTAGTTTAAGTTGCATTTCCATGTGTTTGGCTTGTCTATGCCACGGATACGGTACATGTAGCACGTTCCTAGCAGGCGAGCGAGTTCTTCGCCGGCTGCCGGTTGAACTTGAGCCAGATTGAGTGACTGCTTCTCTCCATCCATCGTGCTACCTACTCAGATGTGAGATGGATGATGCTTCTTGCGGGCTTAGCCGCAAATGAACGCTTCGCCTGGAAGGTTGCTCATGTTGACTATCGGAGCGTGACCCCAACTATGAATGTATGCTCGTCTGTGGGCCTAGTCGAGAGTGCACGCTCCTTCGCGCTCTAAGACGGAAGCATACGTTATCTCGGGGGCCCAATCGGGAGTGTACACTGCATGAACGCTCGGTTCGTGGCTAGTCGAGTGGCTACTTGCCGGGACATTGCTAGAAGGGTTCTTTGTCTACCCTTGTCCTACTTCGGGACACCTCGTCTGGGGCACATTACATCTCGGTGCACTGCAAGAGCTGGTTCACCAAGGTCATTTGTTGTGAGAAGGTGCTCGTCAACTCTATGACTTGTCGAGACAAGTGTTGTTCTCCATTTGGGTTGGAATAGTTTAGAATGAATGCGTCTTCTTGAGCAGTGGAAGTGTGGTAGACTCTGGGCGTAAAATTTAAGTTGGGAAATGCCAAATCCACATAAAAGTGTGGTGAAAATGCTCATGGTTCAATCGTCAGTCTAGAAATTTGAAGCTGGGATAGTTGAACTAATCTTGGATCGATTTGGGCTACTTGGAAGTCCACGGGAGCAAATTAGGCCGCGGAAATAGGTTAGGCCACGAGAGTGAGCTACTCAACTGAAGTAGGCTGGGCCACGGGAGTGGGCTGCTCCGCTAGAGCAGGCTGGGCCCTGGGAGTGGGTTGCTCGGCTGGAGTAGGTTGGGCCACGGGAGCAAGCTGTGTCATGAAAGTGGACTGTTCAGCAGGAGCAAGCTGAGCCATAAGAGTGGGCTACTCAGCTAGAGCAGGCTGGGCCACGGGAGCAGGCTGGGCCATGAGAGTGGGCTACTCGGCGAGAGCAAGCTGGGCCACGAGAGTGGGCTGCTCGACAGGAATAGGTTACTCAGAGTGTGATGCACATGGGTGCGAGGCTTGGGCTCGGCTTGGCAACGCGTTGAGTTCGCGTTGGGCTTGGAGTGACATGGTTTAGGCCATGGCCTTGGTGCCGTGAGCCTTGGATGGCACGGCTCAAGCCGTGGTGAATGCTATGGACCTCGCCACGGGTGGCTACTGAGGTAGCCACCACGGTGGTTCCCATGGTGAAAACTCGTGGTGGTGGTGCCGCTCCACTTATTGTCGCATTTAGCCTCATGAATCACCGTGGTCCCATTCCTTGGATATTGGAATTTTCACTTGTGGAATTTTCTAAATTTCTAGCCATTGTATTCTTCTTTTACGTTTTATCAAAGAATCTTTGCAAATAAAAAATTCTAATAATAAAAACGTAAGAAAAAATACAAGTACACTAGAAAATAGAGAAAAACCTTTTTTATGCGAGAATCTTCTACAAGTGTGGATTTCTTCTCTCAATGAAAGCACCAATTTGTGGATGCAAATTTCCACCTTCTTGATCTTGGACAAAATTGCACCTACAAACAAATAACACCTTAGGTCAAGGCCAAGAGCCACACGCGCCCATGATGAATGGAGGGGCTTTGGCCGAAGAACCTCTTATGCCAAAGTTAGAATTTAGAGAGAAAAGTCTTTGAGAATTTTGGAGAATTTTAGCAAGAGTGAAGACCTAGATTTTTAGAGAAAAGTGGGTCATATATATAGGGCATGTCCGGTCCTCTTTGGAGAAAGAGTGGCCGGCCCTTTGTGTGTATTTTGGGTGTTATTTGGTGATTTAATTAGCAAATTAATATATTGATTAGGAATAAATATATTAATTGGCTAATTAACATAATAAAAGGAATGTTTTTGGGAGGTTATTGAGTGAATAAATAGCTAATTGATTAGCTAAAAAAGGGAAAATAAGGTAAAAGATATATGGAATGAAATACGTTTTGGGAGTTACCTTGTAGAAGGGATTTGATGAGGTAGGTTTTGAATTGTTACCTATTTTGGGCATTTTTGATTTAGTTGAAGGATGATTGCCCGCTGCTCGCGTATAGGAGTCCCGTTGTACCTCAAGGGTATTTTTGTCCTCTTTTATCCAAAAATCCACGTGTTGCCTTGTGATTATTTTTGGCTCCACAATAAGTATTGGGAAAATCACGCAAAGCAGCAATACCTGTAATTTCTTACGAGATTACTTTTAGTTTCAGCAATGAAAATTCAATGTAAATTAAGCACATAAATTATAATTACAATGTGTACCCTGTTAGTTTACAATTTCAAATTGTTTGACTGCCATCGACATATTTTCATCAACTAGACATAGGATTTAAATTTCAAACAAGTTTTAACATTGAAAAGAGAAATATTATGACACAGCAATAAATAAAATTTAACATCACTTGGATATCCTCCTATATCTGCAATGACAATCCAATCCAAGCATTTCTACTATGTCTTTGTTCAAGATTATATGCCAATAACCATAGTCATAAGAAGGAGTCTTGGAAATAAAATGGATCGTATGATCAGTTAACTAAATTATTAAGACTACAAATCGTCGGATTAAATCCAACGTCTATAATTATTTAACACTTTATAATTTTCCTGATTATCAAACGCCATTTTATACCTATAACAGGAAAATTCAATAGACTTTATCCCAAAAATCCATAACAAAATTAACGTTACAATACGTGGAAGGACTAGAGTGACTTGTGGACACAATCGGCAGAAGAAGCAAATTTTCTCCTCCAAATTCTCTCCTCCTCCATTATCTTAGCCTCCCAATTTCCAGCTTTTCTACCTTTCAAAAACAAGGATCTATTTTCTCTTTTTTTGCTCCCGTAGGCTCTCATTGTGCTTCTTGCCCATTTCCATTCTCTGAGGCCCCCAATTCCCTTCTCTCTTTTTTTACACATTTTAGAAGCCCCTTCTCATTGGAGACAAAATGGTATGCATCCCCTTCTCTTTCTTTTTTTTGTCTCAACAATGATTTATACTGATCATAGGTTCAACTACGATGATTAATTTCTTATTATTTCAACCAAAGGCATCATGTTTGTATTAAGCTGTGTGATAATGCTGTGACTCTAATTTGTTTGTTTCTTCATTTTTATTCATATTAGCTTACGATAGCATGTCATGCTTACAATCTCAACCACATATTCAAACAAATAAGGGAACATTTCACCATGTTAACATCCCGTGAAGCGCTTCGTATGTGATGCAATTACAAAACTTTCATTAGTTGCTTTTGGAAATCACTTACATCAACAAAAATTAAAGGAAAAAAATTCTTCATCAGATCCATATATAGTAATATTTGTTTGAGCAACAGATACAAAATGACGCGCCAATTAATTAGAGGTTGTAACCAATAATTTAGCTTTTATATATTATGGCATGGGATCCCGCAGGCCAATGCAGCTTCTGGAATGGCTGTACACGATGACTGCAAGCTGAGGTTCTTGGAGCTCAAAGCAAAAAGGAGCTATCGCTTTATTCTGTACAAGATTGAGCAACAACAAATTGTGATTGATAAGCTCGGGGAACCTAATGAGAGTTATGAGGATTTCACCGCCAGTTTTCCTGCTGATGAGTGTCGCTATGCTGTCTATGACTTCGATTTCACTACTGAAGAAAACTGCCAGAAAAGCAAGATTTTCTTCATTGCTTGGTAATTAACTTCACACAAAAATTGCATCCATTCTCATTTTCTCTTACAATACAATTGGAAATTGAACCTGCCATGGTCACATATGTTATGCCTATCCTTATTAGCTTAACGATCTTTCTTGGCTCTCATTGAGTGTCGCTATGTGAGGCTCATTATACAAAAGTTTGTATAACGAGGGTCATATGTTTGTAGGTAAGGAGTAATTCATCCATACAAGTTATATACATTTATGTGTCTATCTATTTACCTTGTGAAAAGTGATATTATCTTTATGGTCAATGAGATAGATAGTATCTTGTGAAGAGAGAGAGACACATAATTGTATACAATTGATGGTAGGGAAAAAAATTTCGTATTTTAAAGGATGAATCCTTATTCCACCATTCTTGATTTCAAATTCACGAGGGCTTGTTTGGTCCTTAGGATTGGATTGGATTGGATGGAGTAAATCATAAGATCAATGTATCTTGAAGTAAGAAAAGAATACCTTCAACTTGGACAAAAAAATTTCATTTATTGCTTAAAAATATCTTGATAAACAACTGAATTACCAATCCATTCTTAGGTACTCAACGAGCCCTCAGTATGTACCTTCTGATGACTCTAACTAGAATATTTTTCTACAGAAAATTTGTAATCTCTCTCCAAGTCATTTTTTCCATTTCTTTTTGCACTTTATTGAACACCTAAACAACGATACTTGCACATGTGTTTTTGTGGCATGGATTAGGTCACCGGATACATCAAAGGTGAGGATGAAGATGGTGTATGCTAGTTCCAAGGACAGATTCAAGAGAGAATTGGACGGCATTTCATTTGAATTGCAAGCAACAGATCCAAGTGAGATGAGCTTGGACATAGTGAAAGGGCGAGCCTGCTAAAGCGACCCCCCTTTCGCTCTCTATCTCTTCCAAATCTTTTTCATGCTTTCCCTCTTTGGGGGCCACCAACATTTTATAGCCATTATTTATAACTTGGATTTTTTTTTTTTTAAAAACACATTCCATTCCAAAACCAAGTGAATCTGTGAATGGACTACGTACTCTTCTGTATAACCTCAAAGCCTTACTCGAAAAAGAAAAAAAATATGATTTTTTGGGATTAAAAAAGCAAAGGGATTGAACTCTAAAAAAATGAATTGCCTGCAGCAGAAGCATTAGTTGATGCTGAAATGTTGCTGCTGCTGCTGCTGCTTTTGCTTTAGAATTGGTTGAATAGGGTTTTGCTTTGCTTTCATTTGTCAAGTGTTGCTCTTAGAAGATTGTTATGATCGTAGCAAAATGGTCTTTGTTTTATGCCCCTTGTTTTTTTTTCGCTCGGGGTGATTGTGTGCAGTTTCTCTCTCTCTCTCTCTCTCTCTCTCTCTCTCTCTCTCTCTCTATATATATATATATATATATATATATATATATATATATATATATATATATATATATATATATATATATATATATAAATTGTCAACGAAAAATCAAAGTATATCCATATGTTATTTTCCATTGTGCACTGTGTTGCTGTTATATATACTTTGTGCGAACAAAAGAAACACACAAATTAAGAGCATTGCCTCTTGAAAAAGGCCAAAAAGCCGTTGTCAGAAATATTACAAGGAGAAATGGGAAAGTCTAAGTTCAAAGATAGCCTTATTTCCTCAATTATCTTATGAAACAACAAATCACAACTGAGTAGAGAAATAGAGAGGAAAGACATTATACACGGAATAGGAAGTAACAAAGGATCTCGAGAAGATGGGACACGGATAACTTGGGAATCACTCAACCAGGAACAATGGAAATTGCTCGAATTTGCTACAAATTATGACTTTGATAAAGGATAAGTCATCACCAACCATTTTAAATTTAAGGATAATACTATTCACACACCCATTTTACCTCTCGCATACCCTTGTTAGTTATTAGCTATTGATCTTTTTTAATGCATTATATCCATGCTGAATATTAAAAGGGGTGTGTGAGAATTAAAAATGAGTGTGTGGATAAAACTATCAAAACTTAAAACCCATATTTATTTCCACATACTGCATCATTCTCCCATTCTAAAAAAAACTCGCCCTCAAGTTTGCAGCTTTCTAGTCTTGGTTTGAACTTGGGCTTTCAACCTCCTAACAATATTCCATTGGTTGTAGCTTTCCCAAACCTTTATATCGCGATTTCTATGGTGCAGACATCTATTTACGGACCATATGTAAGGACCGAATATGGTTCGCTGGACCAAATCTGAAGGATTCACAACAAATCCATCATAAACGAGCTTAGGGTGAAACCGAGTCATAAATGATCCTTCAGTTAATTAATATTGTACCCGGGATGTATTCCAAATTTCTTGGGATTTGAACTCTACTCCCGACATCAACACTTTCCTTCTTACAAAAACACTCATCTCCTTCTCCCGCGTTTGCTCAAACATCGTTGTTGTCAAAAACATCCTTGCCATTGGAAAACTTGCTTCCTGTTCCAAACCGAGTATTAGTTGGTATGTGGTGGTGTGTTGTCTAGCCTCACATAATTTCCAAACATCAGTGAAGAAAATGAGCAAGTAGGTTGTGGTGGTGTTGGTTTGTGGAGGCTGTGCAGTGGGTTCCAAAGAAAGGACATGCTTGTCACTTCATTCGAGCTAGGGTCAAACTGCTTCCTTGATATGCATAGTGATATTTTATTCCGCCAGTGAATTTTAAATTTGGTGAGTTTTGAAAATGGAACTCTAGAATTCCATCTATTTATTTATGTTAAGTATTATAAATTAAGTTTGGTGTATGGTTAATTATGCATGTTCTTGGATGTAATTAGGTGGAATTTGTCGATATATGTCATTTTTTTTTTTACAAATTAGGGCAAGTTTTGAACTTATGAAGCTATGTTGGCAAGTTGTGTAGATGTTATCTGTTGTTTTGGTAAAGTTGCAGTTTTGAATTCTGAATTCTGTTAATTTTATGGTGGTAGAGATTGATTTTTGTATCTGAATTATTGTTAATTTTATGGTGGGAATTGAAATTGCTTAAGTAATGATGCTCTGTTAACAGCATATGTAAAGTTATGAAGCGTTGGTGACAGGTTATTGTTAAGATATGTACCATTGATTGTTGATGTGTGTGTATTGTTAAGTGCATAGGATATGGCAGGCCAGGGTGTTGAACTAGCAACCAAAGAAGAAGAAGTGTATAGGCGAAGGCTTAATAACTTATCTCAAGCCCCCTCATGTGTTAGGATTGATTAGGGAGAAGTTTAATAAGGCAGAGCTTGATGCCTTTGGGGCAACTTGCTTTGGCCACCTTCAGGGTGTGGATGAATTGGCCTTCAGTGAGCAATTGGTGCATGAGTTGTCACTCCGTAGAGTGAGAAATCAAGGAGTTAAAGACCTAGAAGGGCTGACCTATTTAATAGGTTGTGAATTGACCTGATTCACAAAGCAGGACTTATGCCTCATTATCGGGCTATGATGCGACGAGCCCCATAACATAGAGGTAGAGCCTTAAAGGATTAGGCTGTTGAGGGAGTATTTTCTCGTGTAAATTAGGGTTGGCAGGTGAAGGGAGAAAAGAAAATGGGAAAGGTAAAGCGAAGGACATCCCCAAGAAAGTCAGCAAAAAAATATTTGTAACTTGCGGCGAGCTTGAAAGGGCATTTAAGGAGTGCAAGAACATGGACGACGCCTTTAAGCTAGGGTTGTTATACTTTGCCGATGTTGTATTGATAGGGGTGAAGAACAACATAGCTGTGAATCTTAATTACCTCGACCTCATATAGGATATGGATAGGTTCAACAGCTTTGCATGGGGTTCCATCTCCTTTGAACAACTTCATGACAAGCCCTCATTTGCTGCTTCAAGAAGAGGTAGAGGTAGAGGTAGAGTTGAAGGGGGATAGCGAGGGAGATGAGGAGGAAGAAAAAGAAGTTAGGGGTACAAAGAAGGCGCATCGGTCCAAATGGGGCTACAAAGGATTTTCGTATGCTTTTCAGGTAATATGTGATGCTTTCATTGGTAATATTGGCTTTATCAATATGAGTGAGCATTCATTTATTAACGAATATGTACAGGTGTGAGTATATAAAAAAAATCCCTAACTCCCAACACAAATGATGTCGATGAGTTGAAAATGAAGTTGAAAGAGGTGAAGGCATCATTCGCGCGGTTGGCCCTTGAGAAGGAGATATCAAACAGAAATTTGGTGAAGAAAGTGGAAGAGTTGTCGAACGTGGAGGAGGAATTAAGGAGGGCAGTGATGGAAGAACCTATGGAGGAGAATGCCGAGGAAAAAGATGAAGGAAAAAAGATGTGGGAGAAGAAAATGAAAATGATGAAGAAGATGAAGAAGAGGGAGAAGAAGAAAAAGATGAAAAGGCAAAAGATGAGGAGGCAAAAGAAGAGGAAAGCAGTAAAGAGGAGAAAAAAAAGAGAAGACCAACTGGGTGGTCAAATTGGCGGTAATGTAAAAACCATTGTGGAAGAAGAAGACAAAACCAAAAAAAGAAGAGGACGGTAGTGAAAAGTGGGTGATGAAAAAAGTGGTTTGGAGGTAGGGGAGGAAAAACCAGTGGGTGAAAAGGGGTATCAAAAGGAGGAATTATGGGACAAAGGAAAAAGTGAAGGACGAAGGTTGGAATGAGTTTGCAGGGACTGTTGATTAGGCCAATCCTATATATGTATGTGCGAAGATGGGTTGGTTTGGTCGGAGAACCAGCAACGGAAGAGTGTGAAGATGTCAAGTGTTTGAATGATGACAATGAGGTGGTGATATACACGCCCGATGGCCATCATGTGGGAACCAAGAGGAAAGTCCCATGTACAAGGGCAACGTCAAAATCTATGCTAACAAAAAGGAGGAAGAAAAAAAAAAGATGAAAGTGGTTCGCCACACCCCGTTGATATTTGACATCACAAAGTGCCAAAAATCCACGTCAGTCAGATGAAGGACGATGTTGTGCAAAGAGAAGCGTTAATTAAAGCCATGGACGTAGAATGTGTGGTTGAGCTATTATCGGTGCATATTCTCATATATTTTTATCATATACTTACTTTGGATTTTGTATATATGAATAGGTTAAATGTTTGTATTGTTTTAATTTATAGGCATTCAATACTAGAGTTATGCAAAAATGAAGTGAAAAATAAGCTTTTCGGGTGTGTAGAGTAATTTCAGTGGAGCAAGAGGCTAATTAACTGCACCAAGGCATATGCGTTACGACAAGAAGATGAGACTGCAATGGTTTTGGAAATCAAATGGACATGGGAGTGTTATTCAATGGATTTAAGGATAGACATAATTGTTTTATTTATTTATTATTATTTCCATTTATTTTCTTTTTATTTAATAAAAACTTAAAGTGCATTATTTAAGATTTTAGTGGGGTTTAATTAGTTTTTTTTTTCTTGTCTTTGTTGTGGGTCTTTATATTGAGATTGATTCCCCATTGTGAGTTAAAAAAAAGCCACCAAAATGTATCACACTTTATTGGGGCTGAGGCAAGGAAGGGAGAAGGGAAGAGATTTTCTAGTTTCTTTTCTTTGCTAAGGTTACGATGTAGCCTAATTATGAATAATTAATTGTCTTGTGACATTGTTATTATCATGTTTTTCATCTTTATTGAGTATCTTTTGCTATTTGTTATGCGCTTGATTTTTGTTTAGATGCTTGATCACCATCTAAGTTTTAGTTAAGTTGATTTGATGCAAGTTAGAGTAGATGCCATACTTAACTTGGGTTTAGCTTTTTGCAATTGATACCATAAACACCTATTTGTAGATGCTATGCAATTAGGGTTTATGTGATTTTCCAACGATTTCCATAGAGCTTAATGGGTTCTTACTTTTTTAAATTCTTCTAGATGCCATAGAGGATTAACATATAAGGATACTTTTGATGAACAAGATGCCATGGCTGTTGAATAATTTAGGGAAAATCGATCATCAATATTGGGGAAGTACTTGAGCGTAACATATTAAGGGAATTAAGTAGAATTGGTTACGGTGATTTTGGATGCCCTAGGTGTTATTTTTCTTATGTTTTTAATTTTATTATTTCATGCATTTTATTTTTAAGCTTTGTTTAATTTTCATTTTAAGTCTAAATATCATATCTTTTCCATTAAACCTTCTCCATTATAATTTGTTTCAATTTAGTTAGTAAGATTTTTAGAATCAATTCGATCTTTGTGGACGATATCCGTGCTTCAAAGCTATACTATCATCCGATTCGTATACTTGCGAGCACTAAAATTCGAGACTTAATGATGTTAATTTTGGTTATCTATTTTTCGCAACAAGTTTATGGCGCCATTGATGGGGATTTTGATTATGTTCCTTACTTAATTGGATTGT